CCTGCCTCTTAGGGGCCCACGGAGTATTGGAATATGTACTTCGACGGCTCTCTCAACATCAACGGCGCAGGAGCAGGAGTCCTTTTCGTATCACCATCCAAGGAGCAGCTCCTATATGTCCTCAGGATTTACTTCCCGGCGTCTAATAACGCCGCTGAGTACGAAGCATGCCTACACGGTCATGCGCGCGCAACCGAAGCTCGGTGTCAAACGTCTCTATGTCTCTGGAGACTCGGCTCGGTCATCAACCAACTCAACAAGGACTGGATACGACCAAATGAAAAGATGGACGATATCTACAAAGCGATCGATCGTAAAGTCGGAAGGTAAGTTCTATGGCATCGAGTACACACATGTGGTCCGGGACAAAAATCAAGCGGCGAGATCTTGTGTGTAAAGTTAGGATCGTCCCGAGCCAAAGTCCCACATGGCGTATTTGTTCAAGATCTGCTCACGCCCTCCATCAAAGAAGAAGATCCCGCGGTCGACAAGCTTCTAGACCAGCTATTGGTGGCTACGGTTCCAGCGTCAAACACCACCAAACCACCTCCGACCACTAAGGAGCCTGACTAGAGAGTACCTTTCATCAAGTACCTGACAGATGGTAGCGGTTACACCGATCGGACAGAAAACGAACGCCTGATGCGTCGCAGTAAGCAGTATCTGCTCGTCGATGGCAAATTGTGGTGCAAGAACGCGAAGGAGGAAATCTTGATGAAGTGTATAACCTAGGAGGATGGTAAACGTCTCCTAGACAAAATCCACTCTGACTCCTGTGGCAACCACGCGGCCTCGAGAACACTGGTTGGCAAGGCTTTTTGAGCAGGGTTTTATTGGTCGTCAGCCATAGCCGATGTAGAGAAGCTAGTCCGCTATTGTGAAGGTTGTCAGTTCTTCGCCAAGAGAATCCACGTACCAGCACATGAGATTCAGACTATACCAGCCTCTTGGCCCTTCACATGCTGGAGACTGGATATGATCGGCCCTTTCAAACTGGCCCCTGGGAAATTTACATGCGTCTTTGTGCTGATCGACAAATTCTCCAAGTGGATAAAGTACATGCCCCTAGTCACGGCATCTTCAGAAAAGGCTGTCACGTTCCTCGACCAGGTCATCCACCGCTTTGGCATACCCAACAGCATCATCACCGATCTGGGTACTCAGTTCACCGGGAATGCTTTTTGGGACTTCTACGATGAAAGGAGCATAGTAGTAAAATACGTCTCGGTGGCACACCCTAGAGCTAATGGACAGGTCGAGCAGGCAAACGGTATGATCCTGGATGCACTTAAGAAGAGGATGTACAGAGAGAATGACAAAGCTCCTGGAAGATGGCTCAAAGAGTTACCAGCCGTGATCTGGGGTATCAGAACCTAGCCCAGTCGCAATACCGGCGTATCACCATACTTTATGGTTTATGGCGCTGAGGCAGTACTTCCAGCAGATATAGCCTTCAGATCATCATGGGTAGAGAACTTCGACGAAGACAAGGCCAATGAAGTGTGGGAGCTAGAAGTGAATAGTGCAGAAGAGAAGCGGCTCGACTCTTGCGTGCGTATAGCCAAATACCTTGTTGTTTTGCGCAGGTACTACAACAAGAACGTCAAGGAGCGGCTCTTCATGGTGGGGGACCTGGTCCTGAAGTGGAAGATGAATCAGGCAGGTGTCCACAAACTCGCAACCCCATGGGAAGGACCCTTCATGATCAAGGAGGTTACACGCCCTACATCTTACGGGTTAGCTCGCCTAGATGGCACAGATGTACCCAATTCCTGGCACATCGATAAGCTTAGGCGTTTCTATGCTTAGCTACTAAGATATGTACTGTACTATTGATTTATTTCAATAAAGCTATTATGATTTCTCCGACCACTCTAATATGTCATTTCGAAGTCTATTGTTATTCTAACTCTACCAGTTAAAACCGACCACCATTCCTTCTCGGGTTTTCGGAGTAGGCCCTGTCTCTGGTTCCTCCCAACGTGTGCATGGGATCCGCTCTCTACGCTACGGTTGATTGGCAGGTGCTCTCTGGTTTGACTTGTGTTATAGGAATGGTTTATGGAAAGACTAAAAGAAGCTATAGGAAGCCCCCCTGGTCTCACATTTTGCACTGATTGTGGACAGGTAATAATGTCAGGTGTTAGTGAGGTCTTTCCATTTGTAAAACATAGGGAATGTATGTGGCATCTAGTTCAGAATTTTAAGAAAAAGTTTAGTGGTAAGGTTTTTTATGATCATTTATGGGCTTCTGCTTATTCTTGGAACCAATACATGTTTGAAAAGCATTATGGAGCCATGGCTGCAGCCAAACTAGAAGCAATGCAATACTTGCAACAAAACCATAAGAAGCTATGGACTAGGAGTTAGTTTTCCATGAACTCCAAAGTGGACTATGTCACAAATAATTTGGTTGAAAGCTTCAACAACTAGATCAAGGGTGACAAGGTGAAACACCTAGATGACTTGATGGATATAATAAGACATAAGATCCTGATCAAGTGGAACCATAGAAGAAAATAGCAAGGAAGATGGCAGGAAAGATTCTCCCACACATTGTGGCAAAACTGAGGGAGCAAAGCTTCAACCTTGTTATTGATGTGATCACATACTCAGATGGTATTGCAGAAGTTTGTGCCAAGGGAGGGAGTGGTATAGGTCTGTAGTGAATTTAGCTGAGAGGACATGTTCCTACAAGGCTTGGCAGGTGTCATTGCAAACATGCCATTGCTTTCGTCACTTCTATCCCTAGAGAAAAGCTTGAAGACCATGTTGATGATTACTATTCTGTCAAGAAGTTTGTGCTTGCATATGATGGGTCATCCCATCAATACCTGACAAGACAATGTGGCCAAAAGCAACACATGGTTTCTTCATGCATCCTCCACTCCTCAAGTCTACTGCTGGTAGAAGAAAGAAAAATAGGTGCAAAGGAGCAGTTGAAGGAGGAGGGGGCAGCAAAGGCAAGAAAGGTAGACATGAGTGCCCAATCTGCCATGAGTATGGGCATCACTGGTACACTTGCAAAAATGGTGATCCAACAGATATTGCTACAATGGAGGTAGACAGGTGACTTGACTATCCAAAATAGTACTCTATTAATTTGTTGTGCAGTTCACTAACCAATTTGTGTAGGGGTCCACGAAAAAGAGGAAGAAGGCAACACCAGCAAATATTGTGACAAGTATTGTGCTTGCACCTGCACCCAGGATGACCTTTCCTGATCTGCCTAACATTGCTCCCATTTCCAAGAAAAAAAATAAGCAAACATCATCTTCAGGAGGAAGCAAGAAAACTAAGGGGTCATCAAACACTTCAACTCACACAACAGATCATCAGTCTGGAAGGTAACTTAACTCACACAACATATCCTCATTTTGTGTCACTGTGTTCTGTGCACTAAATGTGTGTGATTATATGCCACTAGATCTGAACTAGGTCTAATCAACTTTGGCATGAACACGGAGATGAACCTATGCCACTTGTCTATTTTGCTCCCACCGACATTTGAACAAGATGCACAGACATAATTTGTGGTGAAGAAAACTGATGCAAAAGATGGGATGAAGAAAAGAGGTGCACAGTCCACATTTCACCATCCAAATTGACAAAGAATGGGAACTAGGAGCAAGATGCAAACTTCACCATGTAGTCTAGCGATGGGAACTAGAAGCAAGAAGAGACTTAATCTTGCTTGAGCTCTGCTTTTGTGTTATTTTGTTGTTCCGAGGATTTAATGTGGTTTGATGATGTCGTAACTCGTAATGTGGTCTCGAAACTAGATACTTTATTTTGTGGTCGCAAACTTGTAATGCGGTCTGCGATGACCGTAACTCGTAATGTGGTCTGCAGGTGGCTAAAAAGTTTGCTTTTGTTGTCAAACCGAATTGTGGTCTAGGTGACTGAACTCATCATGGATGAACTCGGATAGTCGTGTGTTTGAGACCACCTTATTTTCTACCTCTGTCATGACTCCATGAATTTCACCACGTCATTCATTCATTCACTTGCGCTTAACTGTAGGGTGTTTTAAGTCAAAATCTCCCACCGTAAAAGCCAAAGCAAGCAAAGGATGGCGTGAAGAAAAATCGAAAATTTTGTAGTCCACATTGGATGAGGGCATTTGGGTCATCCCTCCTCCCTGCTTAACGACGTTAGAGGCAAAAGCAACAAAGCGGTGGCACTGAAGGAACAAAAGTTTAGAGCTGTGTCTCGAGAAGTCTACGGAACTTTTTAATAACACGCTAGGAATTGTAATCTTTATAATGACCTATAAGTAAAAGGCTCAAGGAAAAAGACCACCATTGTTTTTTTTTCAAACGAACTGTGGAAAGGGAAAAGGGAAGGGGAAAAAAAGTGGGAAAGACCGAAACAGGCGACAGAAATGGCGACGGAGAAGCGCCGGCGGCGGCACTCACCGTCGGCCGCCACGCCCAGCGCCTCGCCGACGTCCTCCTCAAATCCAGAAGCCGCTATATTGCACTCTCCTTCCCTCCGCTGGACCTCATCCCCGACATCACCTCCCGCCTGACCTCTCTCGAGGACTTCTTCGCCCTGCGCGCCTCCTGCGGCGCCTACCGCGCCGTCCTCCCGCCGTCCCGCGGGGTCCTCGCCTGCCAGTCCCCGCTCCTCCTTGTCGCCCTTTTCCCTCCTTCTCCGAGGCGTTATTCCACCTCTCGCTCCGCCGCCTCCACCGCTTCCGCCTCCCCTGGGGCCATCACCTGCCCCCCTCCCGCCGCACCCTCCACTACGCGCACGGCTACCTCGTCACCGCCACCACCGCGTCCTCCCACTACCCCCCGAGGCTCCTGCTCCTCCACCTCTTCTCCGGCGAGCAGCTCCGCCTCCCCAAGGTCCCCGCGCCGTTCACCCGCGTCATCATCTCCGACGACCTGGCCGCCGTCCTCTTCCTGCCCGGCAGGCCCAACGTCCAGCACTGCCACCCTGGGGACGCGCTCTGGCGTGTGGCCACCGCGGACGCGCCCCACGTTGTTGACGATATGCTCTTCGTCGATGGCACCCTCTACGCCCTGGTAAATGGCCTCCGTATTGCCACAGTCGAACTGTCTGATAGTTTGCTGGAACTGTCGTTTCTAGGAGAGGAGGTGGATGACGACAGCAAGCCTGCGGGAGGACAGTTCATGCTCGGAGAGTGCGGGGGTGATGTGTTGCTCATCAGTCAGGATCACACGGAGATGATGCTGTACCATGTTTATCGGTGGGTGTTTGAGGTGGGGAAGTGGGTTTCAGTCACGAGCTTAGGCGGGCGGACACTGTTTCTTGGTTTCTTCGGATTTGCAGCCTGTATTGGTCCAGATTACCCAGGAATCCGAGGGGATTGCTTATATGCAGCTGGGCCGCGCTTGGGTGAATGGCATGAGTACTCCTTGGCTGATGGAACTTGCGATGTTCGCTATGCTGATTATCCAGGTGCACCGCCCCTGAACAACAATTCACCTATCAGACCTCCGGTCTGGGTCTTCCCCAGCCTGTGTTGATGCTGGTTGTGTATTCTTTCCAATCATGTAGAACATCTGAGTCTGACTTGAAATAAGTCATGGTATGCTTGATTTCTGAGGCTGCTATTTCTTAATTCTTAATTTCGTTTCTGTAAACAATATGTTGATCAGCAATGAGTATTGAAACACAGTATATTACCAGTTATTTGTTATGTTGATTGAGGTATAGAATACACTTGTTAAGTGTTACTATAAGAATAGATAGTGCCCATCCTGCACATAAGGGATTATGGATGGTTTGTCTATGCGCTATGCTCCTTTCTAGACCTTGGTTGATCTAATTTTGCTTCTTTCTTGGTATATGAATATTACCATGACATTGCAACAATAATGAGGACATCTCTGTGTATGGAATTACAAATTTAGTTTATCATGGCTTGATCTTATAGTATTGGTGAGTTTGTCTTCAACCAACAAGCTATTCATAAAGTTGTACATTGCTATCGATGTATCATGGTATGTGAAACCAACTTCAAACTACTATGGTCTTATTGTCTTAACATGTTGGGTCTCTTTTCATAAGTTCAGTACTTCAGTCACAAGCTATTCATCTTATTATAGCACCTACTTTTGTTAGAAGTAGATAGTTCAGGAGGTGTTGAGAAATGATTATTACTTAGTTCAGGAGGTTACTTCGGATAGTTAGTTCAAGAGATATATTTTTCCCTCTCTCGAACAAAATTAGTTCAGGGGGAAGTTGTCAGGATATCCATATAATAAAAAACCTTAAAGGTTACCACCACTCTGAAAAAATGCAAAAAGGCTAGATATTTGGAAAGGCTCGTCTATGTCTATTGCTGGTAGGTCAACCCTGATAACCTCCACTTTGAATAGTGCCCCAATTTATCACATGTCCATCTATCTTCTGCCCAAAACTGTGATAAAAGAAATGGACAAAGTGAGAAGAACTTTCTTCTGGCAGGGAGGCCACTCCAGGAGAAAATATCATTTAGTAAGATGGACCAAAATTTGTAAAAGTAACAAAAAGGGGGGCCTGGGGATTAAGGATATCAGGAAAATGAACTTAAGTTTACTCTGCAAGTGGTGGTGAAAACTTGAGCAAGATTCTGGACTTTGGCAGGATTTAGTCACATATAAATACTTGAGGAGGGACAATGTGCGTTTTGTGAAGCATAAACAAACTGACTCACCCATTTGGACAGACCTTCTTAAGGTCAAACACATATATCTTCAAGGTAGGAAGATGATTGTTAAGAATGGCAAATCAACATCGGTTTGGAGAGATATCTGGCTTTATAATGATCCCCTCTGTACTCTTTTCCTGACCTCTTTAAACTCTGAGCAACAGAACATATCAGTTCATCAGATGCTCAGTAATTTGATTCCCATCACCTTTTCGAGATGGCTGACTACTGAGCTTAGATGTGAATGGGGTAGAATTCTCAGTGATGCTTCTGAACTCTAGCTTGACTCTGATCATGATATAGCCTCTTGGAAACTGGAAAGCAGAGGTAAATTCTCTGTTAAATCGACGTATAATGCACTGACTAGTTCTGAGGGGGGGGCATCCTTCAAGGATATCTGGAAAGGGAAACTTCCAGCCAAAATCAAAATCTTTCTGTGGTTAGTGGCAAATGAGGCTATCTTAACAAAAGATAACATGATTAGAAGGAACTGGAATGGAGATCCATCCTGTTATTTCTGTCATCAACCTGAGTCTGTGACCCATCTCCTATTTACTTGCTCTGTGGCTAAGGTTGTGTGGGCCACAATTACTACCTGCCTTGGTGCCAATGATATTCCTACTTCTTTTCAGCAAAGCTGGAAATGGTGTGAGAAATGGATTCCCAAAGGGAAACAATTCTTTGCTGTTGGTATTGCAGCTGTATGTTGGTCGATATGGAAGATGAGGAATAAGATATGTTTTGAGGGGAAGAAATTCCACAATCCCATTGAGATTGTATTTCATGCATGTGCGCTCATGAAATTCTGGGCAGGTCTTCAGAAAGAGGTGGACAAGGAAACGCTGATCAAGGGTGTGGATACTATGTTCAAGATTGCGGTGCAGCTGCTGTCCAAGAAGCGTCAAGCCGACAGTCAGATTAGCATGCTGCAAGATGTCGACAGAGATGAAGAAGCTGATAAAGGCAAAAAGTGATGACAAGGCTTGGGAAGCTACCCGCCTCATTTTTGTTGAGATGTTTTTGTTAGCGCTAGCTATCGTTTGCTGGGTTGTAATTCTGGCGATGGAGTTCAAAGCTCCCTGTTCTATTTTGCGTCGTTCTTCTGTATGCTCCTCTACTGTTCTGAAACATCTTTAAAACTCTGATGTATTTCCGTGCGAATGCAATGGAAATGGGGTATATCCCTAATTCGAAAAAAAAGGTTACCACCACTCTTCCACCGTAACAATTTACTTACAATGAGGCGTGTTTTAGAAGAAAAAAATTACTTACAACGACACGATAGTAGAACCAAATCTGAGGAATAGCAGAAGATTTAACTCAACACCTGATATTCTTGAGGATGTTTACATTACGTAAGCCTATTTGCTGAATGATCTATGTGGATACACTTACTTCTTTTCCCACTTAGGCTTTACACCCTTGATTGTTATGTAGTCCTGGCTAAACAATGTGACTGACTGACTGCTGTGCTCAACTCAGCAAAGGACACAGTTTATCTATAGATCAAAGAGCATGCCCCCTTGAAGAAATATGAAAATACTAGTTACACGTTTTAAATAACCTGGAAGGCCAGACCGCCTGAGTAAATGGTTACACCACTTGTCTGATGGTTTGTGGTTAAAAATCTCTGCCATGTTTTCCACACAAGAATTCTGTACCCTCCATTTCTGGAGATTTTGAGAATCTGGAATTTTGCATCTTGTAGTTGATAATGAAAGAAAGCAGTATCATCTTACAGGAGATTGGTTAGGACGACTTGCTCATTCTCATATTAGATGGCTCCCTGTTGATTTCTTGTCATGAACATTGAACAATACTTCAGTAGGAGATCCTCCAAGTTACTACAGTCATTCAGATGTACTTCCTCCGATTCAAACTAAGTGCACATCTCACTTCTCATGGAGTCAAACCTGTGCACATGTGCATGGTATTTTCTGGGCCCTGTTCGCTTGCCTTATAATCCGTACTTTTCAGCTTGTTTTTTTAGCCGGAACAGTGTTTTTCTCTCACAGCAAATCAGCCGGAACAGTGTTTCGGCTTGTTTTTTCAGCGAAGCGAACGGGGCCCAGAAAATCTCTCACAGCAAATCTCTGGTCTGTGTTGCCCTTACAGTAGTACTCAGAATTCAGAAACTGGAATTCAGTGCACTTTATGCTCTGTTCCCCTGTCATGTAACATTGGTTTTGTGAATTTTCAGTTACTTGTCATCCTTGATCATCTTATGCATTTTTTAGTCTCCTCAAGTCCTCATACTAATGCAAATTAGGCAAACTTCGGATGCAAATCTGCTTAACTTGCTATAGCAATATACATTTCATAAACCCAACCCTAGCTTGCACCATCGATTTCCAGGCGTTTTGTTCTTAACCTAGTGGATGAGTTGGTTCAGAAACTTCAGAGGAGCAACTGATTCTTTGATCGTCCTTTTGTTTACTGTAACGGTTCTTGTATGTAACTGAACTCTGAACTTCTATGTTTTTTTTGCATAAACAAGATTGCAGAGTCTGAAGGTAGATGTGTCTGATCAGTGATCAGTTCGTCCTTGCAGTAGCAGAGGCCATGCAATTGTCTCGAGCACTTCTATTGCTTGCTGCCTTCCTGGCGCATCCGTGGCCAGTTGGTCCGACGGGGTTTGTATTGGCTGGGAGATCGGGGTGGGGTCGACCTGCAGCGAGTCAGACTCCACTAGCAGCAAGTTGCGAACAGTGAACTCCTCGCCGTCCTCTTCCAATCCAAACCACCCGGAGCAAGCGGCCGCCGCTAAGCACACACGAACGCAGGTCGGGCGGGAATGCAACGCGCCGCACTCCTCCGCCCGCTCGTCGGGTCTCCTTTCGTACCCGCGGGTCCCCTTGCTCAGGTTGCTGTGCGGCGCCGCTGCCGCTTCCATGGGGGTGCTCGCGTGAGGTCCTCAACCGGGGAAGGCGGAAGCGAGTCCGGAGGCGGAAGCGGGGGCGGCGAGGGCGCCGGTGCCGCGGCGTCTTGGCTGAGCTCGGCGGTGGGGGAGAAAGTGGACGAGCTTCTGCGCCGCGAAGAGAACCGGGCCCTGCTCGAGGGCGTCGAGGACGCCGAGCGCCGCGTTGAGCGCGCGCGCGCCGCGCTCGCCGACATCGAGCGCCAGGAGGCCGCCGCGCGCCTCGCCCGCGAGGAAGTTCGCCGCCTCGAGAAGCGGCGCGATGAGGTATGCTGACATGCTGCTATCCACCGCGACGCGCTTGGTGGCTCCAGCTTGTTCGATGTTTTGCCTGCTCAGTGAACGATGCCCATGCCGTGATGGTTTCCCTTGAATCCATGATCAGTGGGTCGCTCACAGTAGAGCGACCTGTCCTGCATGCACTAGCGTTCAGCCTCCCACACTGCTGCACAGAGAACAGACCCCCACGGCCAACACGAAGCACGAACGGGTGCCATGTTGTTCCTGGGAGATGCAATCTTACTAAGCTGTGTGGCCCTTAGATGTTTTGCGAATGCGGCTCTTGTAACTTTGGCTATATGCAACTGTCAGAGATGATGTCAACTGTTTATGATAATGAAGTTCTGCAATCATCCAAATTTGACATTCTGGGAAGACATGAATAATTTGTTGCGTGATGCTTTGTTTAGTCTCTTTCTTTTTCATAAATGTTTACAATGCTGCTTTGCACAAACAAGATTGCAGAGTCCCAGCGGGAATTGCTTCAAGCAAGAGAAATGATTGATGAAGCTCAGCGATCCTTGTCTTCTAGTCTTGAGGAAGAAAGCTTTGTAGATATGTCAAGTGGTGATGTTGATGAAGATAGCGAGAGAATAGAATCTGTAAAAGCTGCTGCAGTTTCCTCTATAGTTGGTGTTCTGGCTAGTTTGCCCATATCTTTCTATGAAGCCGAAGATCTGCTACAACTATTCCTTCAGTCATCAATTATTTTCATAAGTTGTGCTTTGTTTGGAGTCACATTCCGGTATGCTGTTAGAAGAGATTTGGACAATATCCAACTAAAAACAGGGGCTCCTGCTGCGTTTGCTTTTGTTAGAGGTAAAACCAGGCAACATGGTTTGTTAAAGCTCATATTCCTGAGAATGTTCTTTTATTTACTGAAACTAAACTATCTGCAGGCCTTGCTCTGCTGGAATCGGGTAGAACCCTCGAGATGAGTACTGATACCTTAATATCAGTTACTCTTGATGGTGCAGTCAGTGTGATTGAAAACATTTTCATATTTCTGCCTGCTGCTGTTGCATTGGACTACTGTTTTAAGATGAGATTTTTGAGTCCCTTTCCTAGAAGAAAACAATAGCTTCTGTGAGGAATATGTACGATCAATAACAATCTTGATTGCTCAGATGGTCATATGTAACACAAATGATATCTTAGATTCATTAAGAAAAAAATTCGTCCCATGCACTCAAAGTTCCATCAAGTCCACCAAATAATACTTTTACTTAATCTTCTTCCTAAGATCTTATTCAACAAAGATTACTCATAACTTTGCTGTGAACATGAATTTCACTTTCTTCTTGATTGCCCTGCTCTCTATGAAGACTAGCATAGATGGACGTATGCTGGAATGCCTCTTTACAATACCTTCTCCACATGGGGTTTGATAGATTTTAGATGGCATTCAGTACATCCTGGTTTGTCGTTCATTCAATCCTCATCCTGGTGTAAACAGAATTCGCTACACCCTGTGATCATTTACTGTCTCAGTGAGTCAGCATTCTGATATGGTCACATAGAAGCATCGCATGATATCTATATTCAGTATATGTTTTATCTGTCATCTACATTAATTAATGCTTGCTGTGCTGTGCTTGTCTGTTAGTTCTTTTCCAGTCAATTCACAAATCGTAATTGCTTTGAAGCAACTAGCTGCTGAACTGTGTTGTAACCTGATACAGTATTTTTCTGGTCTTCCATAAAGTACCAAGGCTGATGGATCTGGGTGAGTGGGTGACATTTCATTGTGCTTGCTCTTTCTGTACCGTGGCAGGTTTTCTATTAACAAATTCGAGGTATGAAATTCTGGCCTTGATGAAAATATCTTGGCTCTGTGGATATTCAATTTCAATATACATTTAGTGGACTACTATAGCACATTCTTAAATAACAAATTGCCAAGATCACTACTGAAGGAGCAACCATGCTCTCTCTTTGAAAACCCGGCCCGGCCTGCTCAGGGCACTCTAGGGTCATGTCAGTTATTTATGTTTGCATGCATGCTACATGTCAGTTGCCAGGCCATGAGCTGGGAGAAAAAATTGCTGCTGAAACTCTTCCAGAATGTATGTTCTGAACATCACCGGAACTTGACATGGGCTTTGTATGACAGTTCCGGGTTAGCATCTCATTTGCACCTTTGGTCGAGTAAAATGTATATGATAGATTGTCTTTTCTGGTCCTGTTACAATTGTTTTCATGGTCTGAAATGCTAGGGAATGGAGGCCCTTTTGGTGTCCCATACGTGATGTGAGCATGGCCCTTCCTTCTTGAGTTGACCATTCGATAGACTGTGTGTGCTGGAATATTTTAACAGCCTTGGCAACTGATGAGCGCGGCTTGTCCTGTGTCTGTTATATGGCGTTCCAGCAATTAAAGCATATGGTGCTGCTCAAGGCAGTTAATGCATATGGTGCGTCTTTTATATGAAATTGTACAGCCGTCAAAGTGTCAAACACCATTCTCACTCTAATCCTGGTAGGACTGGTCATTCCATGCCATGATCCTGAGATGACTAACTTATTAGCAGTTTGCATGGTAACAGTCATCAGATAGGCATGGTCCATTCTATCAATAGGGCCGATGTTAGCTGAACTATATTCCTCATATCATTTGAAGCATCCTTCACCATGTTTTCCTCAGAGGAAGAGAACTGCTTGCTTATTTGATTCTGTATCCCCTCAGTTGTGTGGGTTTCTAGAATCTGGATGGAATTTTCATGTTCCTGTTGTAGCCCTCTGTGTAGGTGATATTGAGAGATGTCAGTATAATCTGACAGGAAAACGGGCATGAGTCCATGTATTAGATTCTCATTCTGTATTAGAACAGAGCTCCGTGGCGGCGTGGCTTCCTTGTTTGTTTCTTCACTTTCTTGTACTGAACAGTCCTGCAAGTTATCATATTATCCAGGCATGCTGACTTTGTGCTTGGAATGTTCTTATCTGTTCATTGGTTTGCATTCCATGAGCTCAACCCTTGCTTTCATCGTTGACTTCCAGTTTTTTTTTTATCTTAACCTGCTGGATCGCTGAAACTGAATGCAGACACCACGATATATCCTCACCTCGTCTTTGCTGAAGCTCTTATGTTGACGTCAGATGGTTGAGAAAGTTCGGATGAGCCACCAAGTGTTGATAGAAGACAGTAGTAGTTTTGGGGACAGATTTAGTGAATCAAAACTCCACTGGTGGCAGGTGGCAACGCAATGCCATGCCTGCTCCATCCATTGGTCGGGTCTCTTATTCCCATGAGTCAACCTCGTCACGCGGTGGTGGCGCCTTGTCCATGGAGCTCTGCATGTGGTACACATCTGAGGAGGGCAGGAGCGAGGGGCAATGACGGCTCAGCAGAGTAGCTGTGCTTGGTGGTGGGGGATAGGGTAGACACGGTCATGTGGAGTGAGCAGAACTATTCGCTGCTTGAGATCTTCAAGGAGGCCGAATGCCACATGAACCATGTCGACTGACATCGAACACCAGGAGATTGCCGCGTGCCTTGAGAAGCAGCGTGACGAGGTATGCCGCTATCTAACGCAAAGTGCTTGCTGGCTGCTTCCAGCATGTTCGGAATTTGCCTTCTCAGCAAGCGATGCCCAAGGTTGGATCATTCACTGTAGAGCAACCTAACCTGGATTGCATGTATGTCCTGCCTTGGCCCTCCAGCTCCCACAATGCTGCACAGAACCCTCAGCGAAGACGTAGCATGAAGGGGCACCACATTGTTTTGGTGTGATGAGATGTTACTAACCTAGTGTGGCTGTGTGCCCCTTAGTTGTTTTGTGGATGCCGCTGTTGCATTTGAGCTAATGTGGTACCAATGACTTCGAGGGAGTTTAAATAGACACTAGACAGACTATAGGATCTTGCTCAGGTCTGGTGTTATCTGTGCATGTGTGATTTAGACAGCTAAAGAGTCCATGCTAATACATGTAGCTCTGGTTATGTATACACCACGAAAGAAATGGTATTTTGAAGAAGTCATGTGCTCTATTGCCTTCCACTGATTGTCCTCTTGGGTCCAACTGTTCAACATGTCCTCCGAACATTTTTTTTATATCTTTAACTTGGAATTTACAACTTGTCTGCTTTCTTCGTCATCGTTTGTTGTGCATATCAAGGTTGATATTCATTCTATTCTCTTTTAGAAAAAAAAAACTTGTTGCGATAATGTCGTTCGGTCTGGTAAATTAATTTAAATGATGCTTATCTTATCTTTTGAGCAAGCACACAGTATCTGTATCATTTGGTCATGTGGCCCCATGACATTGAAGAAAGAATGATTATTGTTTGTGTTGTCAACTCTATATGATAATAAAGTTCTGCCACCATCAAAATATCTTCCTGATAACAAATCAGCCGGAACAGTGTTTTTCTCTCCCAACAAATCAGTCGGAACAGTGTTTCGGCTTGTTTTTTCAGCGAAGCGAACGGGACCATGCTGGGAAAGACATGATTATTTGTTGCTTGATGCTTCTTATGGCCTCTTTTATTTTTGTGATTACAATTTTTCATTGCATAAATGATATTGCAGAGTCCCAGCAGGAATTTGCTACAAGAAAATGAAATGATTGATGAAACTCAGCATTCCTTCAAGTTTTTAGGAAGGAGGCCTTGGAGATGTGTCAGGACAAGCGGTGTCAAACAATGACGAACTAGAATCTGTAAAAGCAGTGCAGTTTCCTCTATAGTTGTTCTGTCTAGGTTCCCATATCTTTATGTGGAGTTCAAAAATTTGCACAAGATATGGAGTCCAAAATTTGCCACAAGTATTCTTCAACCATCGGTTGTTTCATATGGTGGGCTTTGCTTGGAATCACATTCTGGTACACTGTTAGGAGAGATCTTGATAATGCCCAACTAAAAAAGGTGCTGCATTTGCTTTTGTTAGATTTAAACGTAAAACCAGGCAATCTGTCTCTAAAAGCTTTTTCACATATTCCAGAACTATACTGCCTGCAGGCCTTGCTCTGCTGGAATGGTAGAACCCTTGAGTTGAGGTACCTTAATATCAGTTGATATTGATAGTGTGGTTCTACATTTCCTGTTGCACTGCACTGCTACTTTAAGGCGAGTTTTTTTAATCTCTTTCCTACCAGGATATTAGCTTCTGTGAAGAATATACGAGATCAGTAATTATATATTTATATTGCTTGCTCTGGAGTAACATGCAATACAAATGATACCTTAGATTCATCAGAGATTTTTTCCCTCTGTGCATTCAAAGTTTCATCACATGCACCAAATAATTATTCCCAATCCATAGCTGGGTTTTCTCCTATCTACGCTGATCTTTTGTGGGATACATAACTCATAAATTCATTGTGAGCATGAATTTCACTTCCTTCTTTAGTTTCATACCCTTTATAAGGACTGGCGTAGATTGCATCTGTTTGTGTTCAACCTCTATCATTCGTAACCATCCAAGATTTGAACATTCACTTGGATCAACGCTTCAGAATGCCCGTTTCACATTGGGATGAAAAGCAGTTTTTGATGAAGTGCTGCACAGCCTTAGTTATCCTCCATTCAGCTGTCATCCTATATATAGAGAATTTACTAAATCATATGATCTACTCTCTATATTCTGATGTAGTCACATAAAAAAGAATCATTTTATGGTACCTTTATTCAGTAAATAGTTGAGCTGTGTGTAACCTGATACAATACTATTTTGGTCTTCCATAAATTGCCAAGCCGGATGGATCTGGGAGACATCATTGCATAACAAACATGTGTCATCAGATTGGTTGCAACTGTACTTCTGTATTCAGAAGGATGCAGAACAGATATTTTCATTATTATGAGCCTCGACAGCATGCACCTAGGGTGCTTATTCTTCATCCATCAATGGTGATGGACGCACCTGGCCTACAGGATGTTGCTGGCTACAGGAAGAAGACACATGTCTCATCTCCATGCTTAGTCGTGGCAGGTTGGTGCTGGGAAAGTGCCTCATGAACCATTACCTGGATAAGGTTTACCTTCTCATATGCACTTTTATTATTGTTTCAATCATTTCATGATCAACGTAGTATTATTTTCTCATCCCCATTGCTTGGTTTTGACTGCATTATATGCAGGA